AAATAACCTATTTACCAAAATACCTCAGAAATTTAATCACCTTGGTCAAATTTTAAAATCATCTCCTCCATATGTTACACAGCCTCTTCATACAATAATTTAAATAAATATGCACAGCAAAGTTAATTAGCTGTGCCAAATATCAAGTGGATCACTGTCATTTGCAAAGTGGCTGCAAATCTTATTGTCTGGATCTATTCCTGCGGAAGTTAGCCTCATTTAGTATCACCATTTCTCATTTTGCAAATCAACAACAACAAAAAAAGTGTTATTGAAAGATGCCTCTAATACAATATTGCTGGATACTTCTCCACTCTGAAGGAGTATCCATAGACACTCTCACATATTGGGCTATTTGCCTCCACTTGCTATCATGTCCCTGAAGTGGTATCAGCAAGGAAACAGGAAAAAAAAATAAATCCAAACAACTCTGATTTCTCTGGTGTACTCTCTCTGCAGCAGACTTTAATGTATCTTGAAGGAATGTGCTTGGAATGGAAGAAAAATTCGATGGATGAAATTGAGTGGAATTGACAACAGCAAAGAAATTTGGAGGAGTAAAAAGAGAAGGATGTGAGAAGACTGAAGCTCTGAGAATGCTGAGGCTCGTCTGTGTCAAATTAGGGTTTTTAATAGTGAAAAGACAGGCATGTGCAGACCTAACAAGAAAATTATTACATCAAATCACATGAGTCTTATACTAGACTAATACTTTAACCTAGTATTTGGTCTCCAACAGCAGCCAATCCAAACGCTTAAGAAAAGAACATAAGAAATTTGGCAAGTATATTCTTTTGCTAACATACCCTTCTAGCTTTTGGCAGCCAGTATTCAGTGTATTTTCGTCAGGAAAGCACTGTACTCAGTAGCTCCCCAGGGATCTTCTTACCTTCATGAATTCATTTTAGTCCATTTTGAACCAATTAATTTTTGTTTTGTTTTGGGTTTTCTTGCATTGAACGAATTTGGGTGGGGTTTTTGGTGGTTTTTGTTTGTTTGTTTGTTTGTTTTTGTTTTTGTTTTTTTGTGTTTTTTTTTTTTTTTTTTTTTTTTTTTTTTTTTTTTAACTTCCAGAACATCCTTTAAATGTTCCTGCAGCAGGCTTCAGCTTTGAAGGCTTATGTTTTAGACTTGGGTGGCAACATTTTTCCTTAATTGTATCTAGGACATATAAGAGCCGTTTTTAATCTCTGCTTCACTTTCCCTGTGATATAAAAGGACTAACAGGACCTGCTTTCTTCCCAGGGTGGCTGTTAAGTTTAACAGATTTAAGAGGCACTTAACTTCCTATAAGAGCCATTTAAGAATTTGGATTTTATACATGCTATTTCAAACTACAATAATCATTATATACAAACATATATACATGTATACATACATATATCGGCAGATATATGTGGGTGCATATACACACATATCCTACTTTTTCTACATATCTTCAATTAACATTTTTTGGGATTACAATATGTATTTTTATTTGTATTAAAACAAACAAAATAAATGTGTAAGAACACATGGATGAAAACAAATCACAGATACAATCCATTACTACTTGATATTTCATACGGATTTACCAAACACATCTTAAAGTTTTAGTTTTCTGCATTAAAATATGTTGGAGGTCACATAGAAGCCGAAGAGTTGTCTTCCCCCCTCACCCCCTGGGATAATTGGCTCAAGATATGGCTAGTTGTTTTATCTTTATCCTGATTACTACAAACACGTGCATCTCTCTTACAAGAAGGGCAATATGAAACTCTTCAAAACCCTCTTCCCGACTGAATCATCCAATCATTTTTATTTAGTTTGATTAAGTATTTTATATCTAAACTACTTTTCTAATGTAACAGAATCCTTTAAGAAAATACACTTAATATACTTTATCCTTGAAGGTATAATATTTTCTGATGAAATAAGCAACATTTAAAGATATTCACTTCATTAAAAAGTGCTGTGCTATCCTTAAGCATTATTAAAAAAAAAAAAAAATTACCTTGCTTATCTGAATGTCAGAACTCCAAAAATTTCCCTAAGAGTCATAAAAACAACACTGTAAACAACAGAAGACGACCCTGCTCACCATAAGATTCTGCAAAGAAAATTCCTCAGCCTCATGGGAAAGAAAAAAGTAAGTTTTTAAATTGTAACAAATGGTAAAGTAATACTATATACTATTAATAATTTTCTGATATCAGCTTAAGATTTGTTTAAATCTCTCAGTTAACTCCTCTCTTACAAGTCAGTCATATTTATTGCATCTTTTATGTCATAT